GGATCTTTTGCCTCCACATATGACAACTTTTCTGCCTACTACGATCTTTTGCTTTCCGCATCCACAATGCTTCAGATCAACGAATTACTAGACCAGCTTTATATACGATGGCCTTCCTACTGTTTTTTTAAGCAAAGAGAATGATTGTTATATAATAGTAAAAAGAACTGTAATTATTAGCATCTGTTCAAAAAAACGAAAAATACTGTAAATTATACACCAGCGATCAGCGCCAACTGAAATGCTTCAAATAAAAAATGGGAATGTTTGATATTCTTTTTGGTGAAATTTTGCTTCTTCTGGTTTTCGCAGAAAAGTGATAAGGCGCCTGGTATCCTAGCAGTAATTTGCGTGCGAAAAGTTAGTAACTGAGTTCACTTTCTCACTGGATTCGAGCAGAATCTGCATTGGAGGATTGCACTTATCATTTTCTCAGTAAAGGAGGATGAGTATTAGCTGAAAAAAATTCGAAAATTTGATCTGGAACTATAGATAATTATTAAATTAGGTTCGGAAACATTAAATTCGGCTTCGTTAATGATAAGTGGGATTCATATATTCTTGTCTGTTTCGGCTGGAAACATCTGGCTAAGTATTGTCATTGATTGCAGCTGAGGATTCTGAAACATAGCATTGCCTGAATATTATAACCAATTTATTACTGTTCTGTTTTTGAGGATTGACTTATCAGGTGGTACTGGTGTTTGTTTTGAAAGTTCACTGTTTACAGCATTGCTTGGAATGGCGAAGCATACCTGACAAAGTTGAACGTTGCAGTGGTTCCGGAAGAGTCGCCTTTGCTGTTCCGACCAAAGAAGTAAGGCCTTTTAACGTTTTAAGGTAACGGACAACTGCAGTCGCGGGGTTTTTGCGGTTTGCTGTTTCCAAGTTCACAATAATAGCCTCGATGCTATTGAGGAATAATTACACCTAAAGATACAAAGATGATGTGTTTGTGATTATCAGACTGCGATTATTAACGCGTAAACTTACTACCCCTCAGGTTTAGGCCAGTTTTTGAGGGTATTAGGAAACCCTGGTATATGATCAACGCATATTTTGTGTATTATTCGTTATACGTTGATTGTATACTATTTAGTTTTAGCTTGAACCAATACAGAAGAAAGTGGAAGAAGCAAAGCAACAAATTTTAACACCTTTAGAGAAGCTGGACACTCCTGGAAAAGCAGCTGTGCAAGTTGTCATTCTTGCTGATCCGGTAAGCCACTTCTCAAGTTTAAGTTTACTCAAAAAATATTTGTTTGATGTATTTTCAAAAATTTCGGGAAAAAGATGGATTCGCAAAATGATTTATAAAATCACTGCTGTTGTTATCATCGTCATTATTTTATTATTGCTGTTATGATCATTATTGTCACTATTAGTATTGTTGTTATTGCTATTATACTTTAGGAACTTCATACATTTTGCATTTTTTAGAAAGCAAGAGGATAAAAATAAATAGCAACGCGCACCAGACTAACTGGTGCGATCATGTGTTTTGTGCAATTCAGCCCATCAAACGATCGCCTATTAATGATTTTCACTGCTTTGTAATTTAGTCTATGAGAAATAATTAAAAATTTCACACGCCTGCGCATGAAAGCTGAATTTGAAAGCTTGGAGGATGAACACCTTTCCGTGGTACCCGAGTTAATAGTTTACTCGCTAAAATTTTCACGAGGCCGTGGGTGACATCCGAGAGCGCCGGAAAGCTGATTATAAAGAAGCAAGGCTGAGCGTGGGCAGGGGATCGTTACGCTAAAATTTCAGCTTTGTAGACTTTGCGGTTCCCGAGATAATAATTCATCCGTAGAAACTTTCACTAGCCCGTAGGTGATACCCGAGAGCGCGGGGACGCTGAATTTGAATAGGCAAGATTTAGCGTAGGCAGGAGGTCGTTACCGTAAATTTTAGCTTCCTAGATTCCATGGTTCACGAGACAATAATTTACTCGTCAGAAATTTTCACGGGGCTGTACATGTTATCTGCGGCAGGAGAAAGCTAAATTTAAATTTTCTGGGTAGCACGTGGAGGGGGGGGGGGGCATACCCACAAAGTTTCAGCCTTTCACTTTCCGTGGTTCACGAGATACTGATTTTACCCGAAAAACTTTTACAGGGTTGTACGTGTTACTCGCGGTACGGGAAGGCTGAATTTAAATTTCCGCGTCACCCGTTGGCGAGGAATACTACACTGAAATTTCAGCCGCCTAGCTTTTATGGTTCCCGAGTTGAAAGTGTGGGACGAAATGTAGGACAAACATACACACGCAGCCTCGTGACAGTATACGTTTTGTACTGCTGTTACGCAGCACAAAACGCATAATTAGAATCACTAGCAGAGTGACCGTTAGGTGATTTGGTTGCGGTCACAAAAAGCATGGAAAAGTTTGCTAGCTATTTCGATGGTCTAGATTGCGGTGCAGTTTCTCCATTGTGTCATTGCTAGCTTCTTCTGCTTAGCAAGCTTAGTATTCCATGTTTCACTTCTATACAGCAAAATGTTAGCGCTTCGACAACAGAATTGAAGACATTCATTAATGTTGCGATAAATTATTGTATTATAATCTTTTTAGGAGGTTTAACCAATCACTCTCGCCGTTCGGCTGCCTTACATTTCTGTTGAATCCATTCCATATTGGCATCGTTCAAATTTTCCTGTAATTTCAGCAATATACTTTTAGTTTTCGAAGCATTCTTGTCTGAAAAAAACACGCTGTTGTTGAATTTTGTTCCCAAACATGGTTCTTTCTTTCAGAACGATCATGAAATCTGTTTTGTTGGCGATGAAGCATATCGTGAGCTGTCACGAGTGGATCCGGAAGCCGAGAAAAAACTTTTGAAAGCAATCGATGAAGATGACAGTGCAAAGTATAAGAAGCCTGCCGAGTAAGAAACTTCGTAAATTTCTGTAAAAATTTTATTTTGTTGCTACGTACAAACGTACGAGCCATTTCCGTAGCACAGTTTTTCCAATTATGCATCCTCTGCTGGACTGTCTGCGCCAGAAGGTAGTACGGCCGGTTAGTGGACGATTCTGTCGAGAAACGACCTATTCGACAGTTTTTTTGGATGCGTGGTATAACGAAGTTGGGGGAAAAAACGTCGGCATAGCTGCTTACGAGCTCTGGATGGATATTAAAATAATGCTGATATAACAGTCCATGCAGTTGTAGTGCGCTGTTTCAAAGAGTATTCATTCTATGTCAGCAGTATTGAAAAATTGAGAAAATTAGAAAAAAAATTATAATTCTTTTACTTTTTTACATCGATAAAAGTTTTGAAATTTAAGCATTTTCACTGGTCACTTCTGAAAGAAATGCTTATGCGCTTTTGCGTCCTTTACGGCACACTGTCTTAGCTTTTTATCACAACTTTTCAGTTGTGGAAAATGTAAGCACGCTTGATTTATTGGACTTTACAGTCTCAAATCGCCCACCGCAGTATTTTACGAGTCGAAAAGGATTTTTGTGTTATAATGGTTTTGTATATTTATATTTGAGTGCAGTGATTGTGTAGTTATGTCGCTTTCAATCCCTCCAGGATATGAGCTGTATGTCAAAACACCATTGTTTATGCGAACAGTTTTTTTTTCGGCAGCAATTGTTCATACTGGAACGTTTATTAGTCTGCTTGTACAGATCAAAAGCCTTAATTAGTGTCACCTAGCTCTTTGACTACCGAAGTTGCAATCTGCAGCGTAAGCGTTTTTCTGGAGAGCGTTAGATGCGATTTGGTACAAACAATTGAAAAGCTTAATCTTGAGATGTATTGTTTTCATAATTTGTGTGTTTTGAAAACTACCCATATTTTAGAGAGTAACCGGGGTCATGTGGTATTTTTAAGAACTTACACCATTATTTTGCAATTTGTTTTGCTTTTTCACGGTGTATTTGTATAGTTTTCAACCCAGGCTGGAACGCACCGGACGGGCCCGTGCGATCATGCGGTTTTGCACCGGACTTGAATTACTCAGGTCATTAACTATATGAATGGCTGTTGCTTTACACCTACCTTTTGCAGTCACTAGCATAAATCACCATAGAGTTTGCAAAGTAGAGAGAGAGATCTTGAGATTTTTTGTTTTATTTTCGTGGTTTGTGTATTTTGTAAATTTCCCATGTTATAGAGCGTAACTGAGGTCATGTGGTATTTTTAAGAACTTACACCATTATTTTGCGATTTGTTTTGCTTTTCCACACTGTATTTGTATAGTTTAAAAAAAATGCACGCCATAAAATATCACTATCTTGATGGACATCTCGTCTTTAGAAATACTGCTCTCTAAATCAGCGTATTTGCCTAGTAAGTGGGGAGGTTCATTTCCTGCTCCTGTCACAATCCCAATAAGCCATCTGGAATTTAGAAGGGGAAGAGTAAATTGTTTTCTGCAGCTTGTTGACTCATTCTTGTTGAATTCACAGGCACGGCGGTTTTCCTGTTTGTCCTTGATTTCCATTTGCTCCATGCCGTCAAAATTGCATTATAAACGTCCGATTTTTCACCATGTCCTTCCTTCTCTTCAAAGAAAAGTTCGTCTCAAATTCCATACATCTTGAACACAGTGGCAGCCTGGCAAAGGGAAACTGGTTTGTCACTTTTTTTTTTGAGTTTTGTCCTTCTTTGTCCCAGTTTACAACAAACGTCTGGCTCATCTTTCGATGTTTTGTAAAAATCAGTGGATGCATCTGAGTAACATCACTAACGTCTAGCACTGCACCGATTGTCCTAAGGGGCTTGGTGAATTTAGAAATTTTATATTTTTTTGGCCAAAATGAGCGCTGGTATCATTACTACGATAAACAGCGGTAATTTTCCGGAAAACTTGTGATAGTGTTTTTAGCAGTGAGAAAACTTTTATCCAGACGACTTTGATCAGGCCTTAAGAAGATATGATGCATGGGGCACTGGTGCATTGATTGGACGAACTTTGGTACCAGATGAGGCCCC